TGATATTATTGATGTCAACTCTATTATTATTGCTCAAAGAAATTGCAATAATGATGCTAATAATGACAACATTTCCAAAGTCATGTCCCATAATTTATATGGGCTACAAACATCTTGATTGTGCATTTCTATTTATTGACATAGATTGTGATTAAAATCACTGAAGTTGGATGCTTTGTTAATTAAAGATATTGAGAAAAACCACCAAACTATGGTCTATGCCTATCGCAGGGTGACTACCTTCAAAGATACCATTGATAAGTGCAAATATTTACGAATGGATTTTTACATCCGATGGGCTCATTGCAATGGCTAGTTTTAAAGACTTCAAAGGTTCTATAGTAGGCTAACATCCATTTTTTCCTAATATCAGCACTATCAAATCTGGCTCTACGATTGGATGCAAGAAAGATGAATATTGATAATAATTTATCAATTTCTTGCTTGAGAGTATTTTGCACTCAAAGCAATTTGGCAAAGTTTGTCAAATTTGACCAAGATAGATGTTTTTAGATAGTTTTAGATAACTTTCATCCATCCATAGTTTACCTAAAATAAAAGATCATTACAATCCTAGAATAAGCTAAATTAAATATTTTAAGGATTTTTTAAATTTATAGTAATCTAATCATAGGATTTAAGATGTAAAGAGAATTTGACATCACTTTTAATACCAATATACAACATTGATTGTAAAATGAAGCCTAAAAACTAATACTATGGTCTAATGTGGAATAGATTTGAATTAAATTTTTTTTCCTATAAAAAAAGCAATAGATGGAATAAAATAGAATTCATAATCTTAAGAAAGTGGTTAAGTCTTGTAGTGTGAATTTAAGTTTATGGAATTAAAATACAAATTTAGCATGATTTTGTTGCTGAGATGAATATTTGAATAAAAATAATATAAAATTTTATCTAATATCTATTTTATTATCAACAATGATATTATTATGTCATCATGTTGTTTTATGTATTGAAACAAAAACTATACCAAGTTATGATTCTTCATAATGTTTAATAAACAAGATTTTGCAAAAAGAAATCAAAAGAAAAAATAAAAAACATATTAGGACCATAGCATCAAGTATTCTAAGGAGAACTTGAAATGAGTTATTTGTTTACAAATTTTATGATATTATTACTAGTATTATAAATTTATAATTTAAAAATAAAAAAATATAAAATATAAATTTTTGAATTATAAAAAATCATATTGATTTTATTCAACAATATTTTATAATAATAGAAAATGTGTCCTTGTTGGTGATAAAGTATCACTAACATTCCTTGATTAGTTGTCATTTGGGATCTAAACCATGGACCATGCAAATTTTGCTATGCCTCTTTTCAACTCAAAAAATAAATGCAAAGAAGGCTTGCTTATAGAGCGTAATGTCAACCTCATAAGTTCATGGTGTCATCCAAGCAATAGAAGAAGTTTGCTTGCTTAGAGGCTAATTCAAGTGTGTTCAATTTTATGGACCTACACTCTCACAATATCACACTTCTAGTGCTATGTGATTAGGTGAAAGATTAAAAAAAAGATTATATTACAGATAAACTTGAATAAAAATATTATAGCATATTATCTTACAAACACAGATAATAGACGAAGTAGTAGTAAAAATTAATAAGTGTTGATATTGTATTTTCATAAAAAAGACTTCTACTTACTTTGAAGGGCTATTAATGATGCAAATCAAGCTGAATAAAAAAAAATAGTTCAAATAGACATTTCTAAGATGAATTTCAAAGTACTTTTTAGCAAAAAATTCCTTAAAAAATTAAGAATTGATATCCATAAAGATTGGTTATGAATTTAAGAGGAAATCAAAAATTGCATACCTATGACCAGATCTTAAAGTCTTTTGGTTGATTAGAGAGGGAGACTTGAGATCAAACTTGTGAGAGATTCTTTAAGCATTAATTTTGAGATATTTGAGTTTGTATTGACTTTTTAAAGACTTTGAAAAGTTAAGGTTATTTTAGAGGTGACTTTGGATTTCAAAAAATACAAAGAGTTCATATTTTTAAAAATTATATAAGAGTGATAAATGATCTATTAAGGTTTTTTATTTTTTGTTTTTATTGTATAGTTAATGTTATATTAATTTTTTTTATAATTTTGAGCTTGATCTAATGGTTTATTTAAAAGTTATTGAAATTCAAATATATTGGAATTTTAGAAATTAGAATTTAGAGGACTAGTGAAGATATTTGAGATGTATAACAATCTACCATTAGGATTGAGATAAAAAAAAATATATATTTTATAACAATAGTTGATTTGATTTTAAATAAATTTGTAAAGTTTAAAAGCAAGTGAATGATAGAATTAAGAGATATTGGCATTGGAAGTTTGTATAAAGATTTGATTTAGAATTTAGAATTTAATTAGGATTTGAGTAAGATTGGTTTAAGATTTAATTTATGATTTAGGATTTTCTTAGGATTTTATTTAAGATTTAGAATTTAGGATTTAATTTGGATTTAGTTTAGAATTTAGGATTTGATTTAAGATTGATGGTTTAACTAAAGTTGGTTTAGGTCTTTATTAAGGTTTGTTTAGGATTCATTTAGAATTTTTATTTTATTATTTCTTCAAATTTTCTTTATTATATATCTCTTTGATGTTAATTTATGGCTTCTTTATGATTCTTTTGTAATTTCTTTAAGACTTCTTTTAGATTTGATTAAAGTTTGATTAACCTTATTTAATTGGGGTTTGTATAGAATTCTATTAAAGTTGTTAGGACCTCATTGTTGCAATTTCTATTTTACCTTCCATAGCCAAGGGCCTAGTCCAATCTCAAGCAAACTTTACGAAATATGATAATGTTTGTGAATTAATAGCTCCTATAGTATTTTGTAACAGTTTTTTATGTAGCTTGGCCTATTGATTTTGTTAAGTCAATGAGATTGGAGTGAAGGCATAGAAAGCGGAGAGAATTTGGAATGGTAGATGCAGACAAGGGTAGGTATGTGGCAAGTAAGTGTGGTGAAGAGCATTGCAAGGGAGAAAGGATCAATGGTACCATTAAGAATAAGCAATGCTACGCATGGTTTGCAAATTGACCAAAGAAAAAAGAGATAAGATTTTTCCAATTCTTGAAAAGCCAAAAAGGAGTGCAACAAAATCTGTGCAATCTCCAATCTAAGCCCTTGATGATGATTAAACAAAGAATATTTGTGATATTTTATCACCAACAAGAATACATTTGCTATTATCATAAATTTAAGTGGAATATTTTATTATTATTATAAATTTGAGGGATGTATTTGCTATTTTAAAAATACATGGATATTCTTGATATTTCAACATATTTGAGAGGTACAGTGACAAACAAAACCGAGTACAAAATCTGAAGTGCCAACTTTCAAGAGCAATTACAGAAATTTCAATGATTGCTTTATAAATCTGAAAGTTACATGGAATAATACACACAGTCTTGTACACATGTACAAAGTTGCACATCAAATTGATAACTAAACATCCTTCTACAAAGTCAAATCAACAACTATGTCTTGTACTCAGTATTGTTCAAAGAAAATCTTCAAACTTCAATATTTAGTCCAATAACCTTTTGCTTCCAAAACAGCTGAAATCCTTCTTAGCATACTTTTGTATAGTTTCTCACAATCTTTTGCATCAAAACTAGGATAAATACTACAAACATTCTTCCATAATTCTTGAATACCTCTTGGCCTTGGAGCGACTTGGCTTAAACACTGTTTGAGAAGGGCCCAAAAATGTTCCATTGGATTCAAATCTGGAGATTGAGCTGGCCATCGAAGGAGCTGAAATGGCTGTGAAGAGAGCCAAAACTGAACACTTTTTGCTGTATGTTTGGGATCATTATCATGTTGAAAAACCACCTGAGTAGGATCTAAGTTGTAATTCTGTGTGGTACTTTGCAAGTAGGTTTCTAAAATTTTTTTGTACAAGTGTTGCTCCATTCTACCTTCAATTTGATACCAAGCACCCGGCCCAAAAGCACTCATACAACCCCAAATCATAATTGAACCACCACCATGTTTGATAGTTTGACTAACATGTTTAGGTCCAGGTCGTTCTCCTTCTCTCAACCAACACCAAGACCTACCATCTGAGTTGATTAGGTTAATCTTTGTCTCATCACTGAAAATAACCCGTCTCCAATCATCAACGGTCCAATTTTTGTATTTATGAGCAAAACTCAACCTTGCAAGAACATGTCTTTTGGCAAGTAGAGGCTTCTTTTGTTGCACACAAGCACCCAAACCAGCTTCTCTCAAACCATGCCTCAAGGTGATGTCTCAGAAGTGTTTACCTGTTTTTTCTTGAAGTTGTTTTGCAGCTGCACTTGTCGTTTTGAGACAACCAGCAGTGACAAGGTGCACACCAAGTCGCTTCTCTTGCTCTCCTAAAACCTTTGGACGTCCTCTTCTTTGCTTTTCTATTTCACCATTAATCTCCCTCCTTAGATGAGCTACTGAAGACTGACTCATTCCAAGTGAGTCTGCAACTTTTCTTGTAGAAACACCACTCCTAAGCTGCACCAATGCTTGGTGCTTCAATGATTCACACAACCAAGGCATAGAGATACAATTGACAAATCAACTTTCACTATAGATAGTACACAACAAGAGCAACACAACAAACAAAAAATGCCCTCAAATCTTGCAACAAGGAGTGTACATTGAAATTTCGAAATTCAGCAAGAAGAAGCAACCAAAACTGAGTACGCACGTCTATGTGCTTCTACAACACTTTTCTCATAAACCCTACCTCAAATGATAATGAGATTTTTCATCCATGTAGAGGATTGGATGAATACACACAATAAAAAAGTAATTCTATCAATTGACTTATGTGTGAGTTGGAAGGATCAATGAACTATGAGTGTTCAGATTTTGTACTCGGTTTTGTTTGTCACTGTATATATATAATATTTTTCCTGAAAAAAATATAATAATAATAATAATAGTGCTAGAGGTGGAGGTTGCTTGGTTGGCAGGCTCTACTGCCTCCGACAGTACCTAATCTAGCCCCTCGTCACTACCCACTAGACTTTTTTTAAAAAACCTTAAATAAAGGTTGAAGATTTGCCGCCGGATGGTGGTGTTAGATGCTGCGCCTCGTGGGTCAGTCTAGTTTGGTGCCCGTGTTGATGGTTTGTGGGAGTGCTGGTTTGGAATTCTTAGTTTTTGTTTACCGGACTTGCTGAAAGAGAAACTTTCGTTTGGAGATCGTTGTGGATTGTTGTAGATTGTGTGCGTCGAGTATGGGAGAGGCTAGAGAGTGGGTGTTGACGGCGGTGGTCGGGGTGGCGATGCTGTGGAAGCTCCTTTGCGTTTGGCTTCGCTCGCGGCGTAATAAGCTCTTATTGTCTTTCTCGCCCATCGAGGATGCCGTCACTGTTCGCACGCTGATGGCCAATGTTGAATTCCCATTTGTTTGCCACTTATCTCTAGAGTTTGCCCTCTTTCGGACGTATGCTATCCCCTCTATCTCCAGTATTCTTGCAAAGGTGCGCTCTTTCGACAATCTCTTGAAGCTTCCCCAGTTCAGTTCAATGAAAAACTGTCCATTTTTGTATTTATGAGCTCTAGGAAGGGTTGCAGGAGATTGAGACTGGTGAAGGAGATTTGAGAGACTTACACATGAAAGAGACACGAGAGCCTTGCCACTCTCGTACATGCTGGCCGATAGTGCTTGGAAAAGCCGGAATTTTGGAATTGCAATGTAGGTAGATTTGCATTAGATGTAGGGTCAGGAAGGTTTCACAGCCGCGAGGATGCGACTCGAAGGCAATCGATTTTTTCATTGGGTGGTAACTTATCATCCACGTAGGTGTTGTCAGTCTATTTGAAACTCTGATGTGAAACACCAAAAGCGATTGTTCGCCCTGTTGTAGAGTGGGAAGTTCGATTCGGACGCAGTGAAGCGAGCAGACGATACGGAGATTCTAATTAGGGAATTCCAGTCTCACCATGTGGACAGTGATAGAGGGTCGGCTGCACTGCGTCGCCTGAACTACATTCATTCGCAGTACCCTATCAAAAACGGAGATTACCTGTATGTGCTGGGGTTGTTCATACTCGAGCCCATGCGATGGATTCACCAGTGAGTGCTCCAGGTTGCCACGCTTGCATCGCATGATTGAAATACATATTTGCTGCTCATACTGGCATTCAGACCTAGATTCGGTGACGCCCGCATTAATCTCGAGATTAATGGTGCGTCAACCACTTTGACTGTCGAGAAATGAAGCCACTTTTTCAAGTATAGCTAGATAAGTCTCCGAACATACAGTTGTTTGGTTTGTTGCACCCTAATGCATCGACAGATTCCGACTACATATCAGTTGTTTTCAATGTCACTAACGCTGCAATTACCGCACTCTGGGCAGATATGGTTTCAGGGACATGACAACAGCAGAGAAACTGGCCAATTTTGTATCGTGGAGAGATATAGGCATCAGAATGGGCATCAAGGACATTCCTGAAGATCTAGAGGTATGTTTTTCGCAAACACTCTCTCTGCATTTCGAACACGGACGTCACTGAAGCATAGGGTTAAGAGATTCCTAAACAAGTGAGAATAACTCTCTTTGTCATTCCCTCCCTCACTCCCACTGTGGCCGCTGCAGGCACTCGAGAAGTGGCAAGAGGAGTACGAGGTAAAGCACAAGGTGTAAGCGGACACGAACCGCAAGATCGCCGACATAACCGTGGGCTTGCTTCTTCAGACTGTACCGAAATTCACGTTGCCTGTTTTCCGTCCCCATATTCGCCATGCCAGACGATCGCCTAAGGGAGGCCTTTGGGTACCCGAAGCAGCCACAGTGGCTCCAGATTTTCGCTCGAACCACGTTGAAATTCTTCGCTGGAACCTGCATTGGCTTGTTGCACATCCCTCGACCCCTGGCTCTTGCAGTGGATCGCATCCCCGTCGACACCAGTGAGCAAGGGGACCAGTTCGATCTCAACAAAGTTAGAAAATTGGCGTTTGATCGATATGGCAGCAGGTATCCGGGAGGATACAAGATTGGTGAAGTGGGCAATGGGAAGCCCGGAGTACTGGGCTCAGCCTTCCCGGGGGAGCTGCTCTGCCCTCTCTCGGACCGATACTTCCAGACTTCGTGGCCTCCACGCTCCAATGGCCGCTGAAGTGTCGGTAACGTTAAAATGTAGACCTAATTGGGGTGGTCATCAGTGCAGGCGTTACTTCATGCTTCTGTGTGATACCATTGTAAATGATACCATTTCCACTTTCCTTTACCTCCCAACACTCCGAGATCCCTTCCTGGGCAACCCAACAATGATTCACACCCATCACATGAGAACCCGTCATGATCTCTTGGATCCAAGAAGAAATTGACGGCCATCACCAATCCACACACTAGTCCCACCACTCACATGGCTCCACAATCAACTGGAGAGCACCCACTAACCCAACGCATTTGCATCAACAGTGTCCACCATTGAACATCATGCCCCTACAAGGGACACCCACACTCCACACAAACCCAAACAACGTCGAAAGAAAAACACGCGCGCTTCCAACACATCCTGACATCTCCGGATCCGTAACCCTACCCATCCCCGACATACTTCCACAAATTAAACCAACCCCACCACTTCACTGTGTCCTCCCTTCATCGCCTGATATCGACCCTCACAATAATTCAACTGAGCTCGCCAACTGCTGCAACTCTCACACACTTCATACCAAGCTCCTACCTCCATCGGCACCCTCCACCTTAACACTACATGCGCCTGTACCACAACTCAAAAACCAAATTCAAAATCACCCAACCACTCCACAAAAGGAACTCAAACAACTCCGTCCAACTCAAACAACTCAATAAAAACGGAACAAAGTGGCATTCAGCGACATACAACTAAATGACATGGTATTTGAGACAATGTGGATTAGTGAATACATACGGACAGACAATCCACCACCAACCTACGCAGGAAAACCTCTAATAAAAAGAAACCACATTCATCATAGACGCTACAAAGGTTTCTTCGGTGGCAACGGGCACACAGGATAATTTGGAGTAGAAAACCCCAGATAAAGGCGTTATCCAGTACAAGTTCCCATCCAAATATTATATACCAACTCACAGCACAGACAAACCCCCAACTCTTATCAACCAAGAGGGGGCCCTGTCCCTACTGTTCTAGAGAACACAATCAATCATGATTGAAAGACCTTGGTCGTCAAGTGAAAGTGAAAGTAACTGCAGTTTAGACTTAGGGTCAGTATTTAACATCTTGTCTCTTGTTCAGAAAAATCAACCAAGTAACAATTACACAAACGTCACCCAGATATTACTCGCAATACCAGACAAGTGTTGTACTGCTGTACTGAACGTCCTTGAAAATTCACCAAATGACCTACATAAAACCGACCAAAGTTTCATCGCACATTCATTCAAGAACGATTTCTAGCCATACCAATTCGATGCACTGACATAACAATATTGACATTGTAAACTTACGTGCTCTCTTACGAATGAATAATTGCCTAGTTAAACAACAGAACAAAAACTGCGTCAACCAGTAGTTCTTTCACAAATAAACAAACATATAAATAAACAACCACGTAAGTTCTACAAATCGCATGTGCAGATCAACGGCAACTCTCCCCACCTGCTTCCCACAAAACTCCTCCCTCCAACTGCATTCCTCACCCAACCTCCGCAATACCAATAATCCTAACCCCCTCAATTCATTACACTCTGCTGCAAAAGTCGATCTTCTCCACCCATCCGAGCCGTCACAAACTCCTCCAATCTCTGCTGCGTGCGCATCCAGAAACCAACCTCTTCTGCCCAGATTGCCCCCTATCCCACCCCACCCACCTCTGAGCACTATCCACTCAAAACAACCCACTGCATGTTTCACGCATTCCATCATCTTCCTCAACCCCACTGAACTGACCTTGCCAAACCTGTGCGTAGCCCGTATGACCCAATAAAACACCATCCAACACGAGCAACGACCATAAATCTCGCTGCATACCCAAATCAACGAACAACTGCTTCATCAATGCTACAAACTCACACCACAACCTCTGGCCTCCAAAAATCGTTCCTACACCTACCCACTTCAACATCATTCACAACGCGATAATCTATAAAAGTTTCTTTACTTTGGCTTGTACAACGCACACCATCACCTACTCCTTCCTGCCTCCCTCATACTCCTGCTAATCAAGCTGCACAGGTGTCCGTAGCACCATATTCATAACCTTCCATGCTCAACTGAATACCTCTCAACCATCCTAAACTCCTTCTCAACCCCCATTTCAACACCGATCAAAACGAAATGACCTCAGAGGTCCACCACCAACAGGATCACTAGCCCTTCGCGTCAACCTCGCCTCCGCCCAACAAACTCAAGCGCCTGCCTTATTCTGACATCACACCTCGCCATCTTCCCAAAACGAGCGCTCCTACTCCTCTCTACTTCACACCACCTCTGACCCGCGTACCCGCCTCCTCTCCCACCAATTCCGCCCTACCCACACCCTGCTATTTCTTCACAAATCACTCCATGCGGCTTTCCCTTCTCCACTCCTTCCCCCTCACGCCCACTCTCCCACCATTTCGCACCCCCGCCTCCCCTTTAGCTCCCGCCGAACAAGTATCCCAAAGACGATCCTCCACCAGGAGCTGCGTGCACCTTCGTCGATGGCCGATCCTGCAATCCCATCCACAATACCCCGTCATATCGCACCGTTCCACACCCTCACCACCCCCCCCCCAACAAACACACCTTGCTTCCACCTCCAAGCCTCACCTCCTCGCCACATCACGTCATCCAAATGCACTCCCCCACCACATCGCACACCCTTCCCCTCCACATTCCGCATCCACGACTCGTTCCCCTATCCACCCACCCTCCCCTCGCCCCACGCTCCCCCCATCTCCACACTTACCGTGATGAAGTTCCCGTTGTTCTGCCCGTCCGCGCGGTGGTAGTTGTTCGAGCTCCTCCCCAACCTGGTTCCGTTCGACCCTCCAACCTCCTCCACCTTCGCAGCCGGGACCGCGGCAGGTGCTGCCTTCTCCTCCGCCACGCTGCTCCTCGCAACCCCAGCCGCCCGCTGCTCCACTGGGGCCTGCAGCGCCTCCGCTGCGGGAGCCCGGGCAGCGGGCTTCGCTGGAGGGGCGTCGCTCCCGAACAAGTACCCCAACGAACTCTGCCCTCCACCGCTGCTCCCTCCTCGCACCATCGTCCCTGCTTCGCCGCTTCTTTCTCTCTCTCTCTCTCTCTCTCTCTCTCCTCCTTCTCCCCCCCGATCTGCTCACAAATCAATCAAACCACGCCCTCAGTGCCACCAATCCCGCACTCCACACAATGCACCCAATGAGCTATCGAATCTCACACCCACTCTTATCACAAGCACACCAACACCACCAGCACCAAACCTCCTCCACGACTGCTAACATTGCGCAAAGCACGGACAATAAGAATATCCAGAAACCTCCAGATCTAACCACGCCACCCCCACAGAAGAGATTGCAGACACGGGCGGACACACAACATCAAAGCAGAACATTCATTCATACACACATACACACATACATACCAGGATCGATTGATTGGTTGTTTGATTTGATCGACTCTGGTGCAGCGCAGTGCTCGATGGGTCGATCGGAAGTGGAAGCAAGCAAGCAACCCAGCCAGCCAACACGGAGAGGGGGGGGGTCTCGAGGCAGTCAGGGAGGCAAGAGGCGGAGAGACGGGGAGTTTGCGAGTGGGGAAGTGTGAAGTGGAAGTGGAAAGCAGAGGAGGAGGGCAATGAGGGAGGAGAAGAAGTTGGGAGTGGAGAGAGAAGTGGGTGCTTGTGGTGGGGACCGTGCTGAGGGGGGGGGAGGAGGAGGCATCACCCAGTGAGTGAGTAAGGTAGTAAGTTGGTAAGTTGGGCCCCACCTGGCTTGGGTTCCGTGTATGGATAGTCCCCCCCCCTTTCCCCAGTTACTTTTGGGTCGGTCCCTGACAATTACTCAGTACATTGTACCCCCCCCCCTGATGGTGCGCTTGGTACCCTCCTCGTCCTCCTCCTCGCTCCCTCGCTCGCTCTGTGGGAGGCCTTTTCGCTCTCCCATAATCGGATTGTTCGTTTGGTGCACAATTTGAATGGGAAGGTAGGCAGGTGGGCACTCCGAGGTTGACCCTGTTGTTGTGAGGTTAACTTCTATATCCCTGTTCACTTTACTTCTTCATGGAGAGAGCTGCTCTGCTCTGGATTTAGTTGGCTCATAGAGAGTGTCCTTTCCCTTCATTGAATGTTTTTTTTTTTTTTTTTTTTTATATTATTATTGATATTTGTAATTATTTTTCTATGTTGGTAGACAGCGAAGCATTCTCTCATACATGGCTACATCCCCAACTTAGCATTTCAACTTGGGTGATGAAAAAAAAGAAAAAAATGAAACTTGAAAATGGATCCCAAAAATTCAACAAGTCTCTTGACTATTCCAACATCACAATTTTCCATGAATAGGTCATTTTTCAACAAAAAAATTAATTAAAAATTAAATAATAAATGATTATACAAAATCTTCAATTGCCTTTCATATTTGAAGCCACCAAAAATCTCTAGATACTAGCTCCAAAATCTTGTTGTACCCAAAATGTCTAGCTATTGGAAAGTCATGATAAGCTTGAAGAACATATAATTATGCTTTATCTTTTAAAATATATAATCGTCTTTTGAAGTAAAATAGATTATTCTTAAATTCAAACTTAGAAGTATCATGAAACTTTAAAAAATTATTCTTAATATGATAAATAAGATGATTATTCTTAATATGATAAATAAGATGATAAATAAGATGATTATTTTTTTTAATATGATAAATAAGATGATTATAAATAATATGATAAATAATTATTCTTAATATGATAAATAATTATTCTTAATATGATAAATTATTATTATAATCATCTTATTCTTCATATTATTATAATCATGAAGAATAAGATGATTATAATATGAAGAATAATATGATTATAATAATATGATAAATAAGATGATTATAAATAATATGATAAATAAGATGATTTTAGACTAGAAACATCTTCTAGATAATGATGTCATTCTTAAAATGAATCTATAAATACAAAAAGCTCTTTGTCATAAATCTAGTAGTTACTTTCAATTACTAAAAATTTCTTGGAATAAAAAGTAATTAAGTAGAGTTTATCATCTACTCTCATTTGTGATAAAACAATACCTATAGTAAAGTCTAATGCATCTGTTTCTACAAAGAATACCTTGAAAAAATTGATGCAATAAAAAATTAGTGGAAAAATAAATATTGCTTTTAAGGCTTCAAAAGATATTTATGCTTTTTTGTTCTACTTAAGATTATCTTTACATTTCAAATGTATAAGAGGAGCCACAACTATAGAAATTTTTTTGACAAAGATTTAATAATAATTAGCAAGTTCCAAAAAATATTATACATCTTTAACTGATTTTAAGATCTTTCAATTCATGTTATTCTAGACCTTCTTAAGATCCATCATTAATCCTTTGTTGGAAATGATGTACCTTGAATATTCAACTTGAGTAATGTAGAATAGATTTTTTTTAAAATTTTTTTTTATCTCTCTATAGAATCTTATATTTTAAAGTTTTTATAATATACAACGAATATGAAGTTCATATTCTTCTATGTTCTTAGAATAGTTTAGATTATTGTCTAAATAATAGACAATAAAATCATTAAAAAATTCACAAATAACATCATTTATGACATATTGAAAAGCAATGACATTCATGAATCTAAAAAACATGACATTATATTTGAAATATACATACCTAGTTTGAAAAGCTATCTTCTGTTCATTTTTTTTTTATTATTATTATTATTATAGAGCAAGTTATATATTCCTTGTAGATCTATTTTTATGTAGATCTTTATTTGATTGAATTGGTCAAAAAGTTCTAAAATCAAGAATAGAAGATATCTATTTTTGATGGCCATCATGTTAAGTCTTTAATAGTCTATATACATTTGCAGAGATCCATCCTATTTCTTTACAAATAAGATAGAAGCTCTTCCTAAATATTTTGAGTGGTGTATAAAGTTCTAAATTAAAATTTTATGAATATATTTCTTTAGTATAGCTAACTCTATTTGCAATAAGCTATAGATTAATTTGAATGGTGGTTGAATTTCTTCTTGTAGATCAATTGAACAATCATAGGATCGATGCTCTGAAAGAATATTTGTATTTTTTTTTTCAAATTCATCTTTAAAATATTAGTACTGGCTAGCAATGCTACTTGATATCTTTTCACCATTTGTAATAGATGTGGCATATATAACAAAAGATGGCCCTTCTTTTGTTGCATGCATGAAAGCTCTTGCACCTACTGGATATATTAGGCTTATTTATTTTGTACTTCACTATCAAAATTTTAGATTAAACTATAAAAAGATTAAGATTATAAGAAATTTAATCTATTTAAGGATTATATTTTTTTAATCATAATAATCCTAAAATAATTAGATTAAAAAAAGAACTTATCACATTAAATATTATTATATTATTTTGATCTTTAATTTCTACATCTAAAAGACAATCTCATGAATAACCTTTGTAGAAGACAACAAACAACTATCTATGACTTCCAAATGTATGAATTTTTTTTTTAATTAAAAATATTTCTTATTTTTTGACAAAATATTTGTCTATAAAACAAGCTCGTGCTCCTCATTTTGTAATTGTGTTGCTCTTTTAGATAATATTGAGTAATATATTTAGCTTTTCCATAATACGAGCACAAATCTTCTTGACAACATTAAGTCTTTTCTTGCTTAATAAAGAATTTAAAACATATCATATGAACTTGTATTAGCTCTGGCTTTGATAAATGAAATTTTAAAAATTTGGAAGTAGTCATCATTACTTGGCTTATTCCTCTTCAACCAAGTCTTTGTTTTTGATATCTTTCAAATAATCAATTATTTCATGCAATGGCTTGAGCAATGAATTATTCTTAAGATTTTGCTTTCAATATTATTAATAATAAATCTTTGACGTTATCTTTCAATCCATATCAAAATTGATTGATGAGGCTTTATCATTCCAATTCACATTGCAAGCAAGATTTTGGAATTCAAAAGCATATGTTGTGGCTGATCATGATCCTTGTCATAAAAATAAGAGCTTAGTCTCTGCTATTCTTTTTCAATCACTTTATTTGAATGTGACCATAAACATTTTTAGGAATGAATTCAAATTATAAAAGAGTTGTGAATCTTTTTTTTTATCAAAGATACAAATCAAAAAAGATTACTTCGAAATAAAAATACATATATGAATCCAACTTAAAAAAAATCCATAAGAGTATTGGAAGAGATGCAACTTTAGATAGAACTTAACATGTTGCAAAAATCTTTGAAATTTAGATCTTGTTCCATCAAACTTCTTATACATATTAATCCTTATCCTTGTCGTATCTATAGAAGCAAAACTTTTTGGATTTGATTATGAGGTTGATTAACTTTCTTCCTTCAACTTTACAACTTTTTGATATTGTCGTGATATAATATGACTATATAGTGAAAATATAATCAAAATTAAAAATTTAATTAAAAATTTAATTATCTTGGTTTAATAATAATTCAAGATATTTAAATATGGTTTTTATAAAAGCCTCTTAGTTTAATTTTTTATCTTAATAGTTAATAGATTGAAGATTGGTTAGTACTTTTATCTTCTAAGTTACAGGGATTCTTTTAATATCTTAAAAATACCATAATTTGATAAAATTAGATTATAAGAGATAAATAATTAGCATGGTTGATACTTGAATTAAGAAAAAGGTAGGATTGGGCTAAAAAATCCCTAGAATAGGTTAGATTGATATCTAAGGGCTGATCGTTTGTGAGACAAGACTAAAATCAAACCTTTGGCAACCAAAATGACTGCTTAGGATAAAATAGGGTTTCATTCAAAGTTTGGAGATGAAGATTTGAAAGTTAGCTTAGAGCTTGTTTTATAGACATAAGGCTTGTTTTTGTAGGATCTTTTGAAACTTTATAATTATTGTTCAAAATTAAGGTTTGTATTGGCAACTTGAGATTTATACAATATAATTAGGGCTAGCACTCTTGACTAGTTCATAAAACTGGTATTACATCTACAATTCAAATTTTGATAGTGCTTGGTTAATTAGGCGTGCTAAATTTATGTAAAATTTTGTAATAATTCAATGGTGCAATTGGAAAATATTTGGATTTTGGTACAAGAAGGTATCAAAAGTTGGTAGTTCCGGATTGGATAGGATTTCTATAATATATGAAGATCTACTAAATGGATCAAAGTGAAATTTAACATAGTCTTAGAAGACTTAAAGAGTAAGCTACTTACCAATCTTGAGTTGAAGTTAACAATTGGAGAAGGAGAAATCACTGCTGAAACATTTGCATCAACTTTCAAGTTGGCAGCCAAATAACATCAATGTGGTTTTCAGTCGTTTTTTCACAATTTGTAAGTTAGATTGGAGTGAATTCTTTTTGATCACATAGAAGACTTATAGGTGAATTTGTATGCAAAATTTTTCTCCAAGTGGATGATTAGATTAGGAGCTAAAACTCTCTAAAGCTTATTGATTAGAATTAAGGTTGCAAAGAAAAATCAAAATTATACTAATTATGAAAGGAATAAGGCAAATAGAATTTATGTATAGTTGAGATTACTAAAAAGAGTATTTTTGAGTACTTTATATTAGATTTAAGTACTTTTGAATTAGAGTTCAAATTGCATTCTTCTTACAAAGATGATATATATTAAAACTCTTGAATACTTGTAAAACACAATTCCATCTTCAAC